GTCTCTGGGGTCGTGTTCTTTTAACTGAAGCCCTTCCTAATTAAGTCCTTCCTTAACTCTAAACCCTAAAACCATTCCAAAACCCTAAACTCCAAACCCTAAACCCCAAACCCGAACCCTAAACCCTAAAACCCCTCCAAAACCCTCAGGAGATCGTAAAAAGCAGCGGGTGGAATCATGGCCTTAGGGTTTAGGGTTCAGGGTTCAGGGTTTAGGGTTTAAGGGTGTCTTTTCAGCCTCTCCTTGGGTCTTGTTATCCAGCGTTGGAAGACTCGTTTGTGTTTGCCGTCGCTTTGTTTTTTCTTGTTAGTTGTCCTTCTTGTCTTGTGAGATGATGACCATGAAAATAATAGTGATGATGGTGACGATAACGATGACGATGACGATAACGATAATAACGACGGCAAAGAATATGATGACGACGATGGTGATCATCATCATGATGGTGTTCAAAGTCAACATTAGGGATCTGGGGCTCTTTTTGTTTTAGGGTCTTGAGTTGGTCCTTCGAGGTTAAGGTTTAGTTTGATCGTTGTCTTTAGAGAAAAACTCTGTTCACGGCTTCAGGACAAGTGCTTTCTTGTTGCTTTCGTGGTGTCATCGTGTGCTGCATGATCTATGTTCCTTTGTCTTATCTTGATTGAAGTAGGGTATGCTGCTCGGGTCTATGCTTGCACTAAACTTGCATCGCTTGTTTCAGCATGTGCTGGTTGTCTTTGGGCAAGACAGTAGGACACTCACCGGCCCTTGCAGGCTCTCCGTCAGGAAGGGCCGGAGGGGCTCCAGGAAGGCCGACAGGAGCATCCACATAGCCTTGGCTTCGCAGAATTTTCTGAGGTTCCCAGGCATGAAACAGCTCGCAAACCCCACTGTCCGTTGCAACCATTCGAGGTCTCCCGGTGTGCCGAAACACGATGCCCAACAGCTTATATCTAGAGCCTCAAAAAGCCTCACAGTGCATCATGACAGACGACTTGCAGCTGGAGTACTTCAGACGCGATGCTGTTGGAACTCTCAAAATCCTCTACCCTCCGCGGATGGCAAGCCGGCGAAACACGTCGCATCCCTTGATATTGCCGTTTCGAACATCGTTTGGCGATGCTACTACAGTTGGTGTGGTTGCCGCATATGCTGACGATCATTGACACAAGGTCCGTCCGTGAGCATTGATGACAAAGCTGCTGCACATGAGCCCACCGCCGTCAGCAACAGCACCACCGTCATTGTGTTCATCATCGCCATATTCAGCGTCATGGTCATGATCATCGTCATGGCCACCGCCACTATCCGTGCACATGATTCCACAGGGAACTCCCGACATCGTGGCCTCGCGCGACTCCGGCGTTGGCGACAGAAGCAGATCCGAGCCGTGCACGGCATCCTCGGCTTCCGAGCAGCTTAGAATGCTATTGAATTGTACCTTCCCAATACTCTTACCATCAGTGTCGGCGTTCCGGTGCCGATGGTGGTGATGGTGGTTGTGATGGTGGTGGCGGTGGTGGCAGTGGTGGCGATGGTGGCGGTGGTGGCGGTGGTGGCCAACAGCTTTTTTAGCTTTGCTGCCATAAACAGAGTCGCAGAACTACGACACGGATGGTGATTCTTGTCGTGATGATGCGATGCGATGGCGACGACGACGATGACGAATGACGCCCGGGACCAGGACGAGGACGAGGACGGACAGGGACGAGGACGAAAACGAGGCCGAGAGGATGAGGATGAGCCTGAGCATGAGGATCGCGATGAAAGTAAAGATGAGGATGAGGATGATGACAGTGACGACGATGATGCTGATGATGCTGATGCTGCTGCTGATGATGATGATGATGATGATGAACATGATGATGACGAACATGATGAACATTATGATGATGATGGTGATGGTGATGATGGTGGGGATAATGATGATGATGGTGATGATGAGGAGGAAGATTACGATGATGACGATGATGATGACGATGATGACGATGATGATGATGATGAACATGGTAATGATGGTGATGATGATGACGACGATGAAGATGATGACGATGAGGATGACGATGAGGATGACGATGATGATGACGATGAGGATGACGATGAGGATGACGATGATGATGACGATGAGGATGACGATGTATGATGACGCTGAGGATGACGATGATGATGATGGTGAGGANNGAGGAGGAGGAGGACAAGGACGACTACGGTTGTACTTCTTCACCATACGGTGACGTCTGGTACTTGCCCTTAGCACTAACGACTTCAAGCGTACACGTGTTATTACCTCGTTGTTGCATGACTCTTTTCACGGGTGCAAATGTTGTTCCTCCTGTCTTTCTCTGCTACAAAAGCTAAGCTTCAGCTATGGCGAGCCATTACAACCCTTCAAGAGAGTCGGTTCCAATCC